ATCCACAGAATAATCAAAATCCACAGAATAATCAATATCCACCGAATAATCAAAATCCACAGAATAATCAATATAATCAAAATCCACAGAATAATCAAAATCCACAGAATAATCAAAATCCCCAGTATAATCAAAATAATCAAATCAATAATAATAACAGATTAAATAATTCAACAAATAATTCATCATTACCATTACCAAATCATCAAGTTAATAATAATAATAATAATCGTCCTAATCAAACTAATCAAGTTAATAATAATCCAAGTATTGATGATGACATACCAGTTATGGGTGGTGAGGCGGCACCAAATGGTGGATCAACGAAACAATGAATGAATGTTTGATAACATTGTTAATTTGATTTTTGATTTTTGATTTTTTTTTTTTGAATTTGAAAAACAATAACAATAATAATAAAAAATCTAAAAGGTGATTTGAGCGATTTTTTTTTGAGCGGATTCAAATTTTCATTTTTGAATATCAAATATGTTGTTGTTGACATTCTTTTTTTTTGTTTTGTTTTGGTTGAGTTATGACATTGATGATATTCAGGATTTTTTTTCACTGTTATTATTATTTTTGAGTATAAATAAATCTCGATGTGATTGATTAGTTTGATTATCAATCGATCAATCAATCAATCAATTCGATTTGATCAACAACACGATCATCAACAACAATCGGCTGCTGGTTGTGAAGAAACAAGAAGAAAAGAATATGTCATCGATTCGACTATTTTCATCCATATTGTTCATCATAACAATGATGATGATGATGATCAATATAAACAATTACGTATTGGGTCAAAATACTTATGGAAAATTATATCCATCGAATAACAATACTGATAGCTTCGATCAAGACATATCGCTATCTTATTATAATAATACTAATAATAATGAAACATTAAAATATTGTTTTGAAATGTTGGATTATGCACAAGAAGAAGGTGAATCATTTGCAGCAAATCATTGTAATAATAGTCTTATTGAAAGTAATCAATTTTGTGGAAATATATACAATGATTTAAAAAATTATTCCGATAATCTATTAATAAATTGTTCGGGTATTGATTTTCATCTACAATGTAATACATTGAAAGATGTAAAAATAAATTTTTCAAAAATGTTAATATCAAATAATTGTTCAATTAATGAAATAGTATTATTTGGTATTTGTCAACAATTAGGTTTTATATATAGTATAATTGAAGAT